AATAACTTATACAGTGTGCATAAAGTAAACAGAAATGTTATGTTTTTTAATGTAGTTGCATGAAGTTTAATGAAGTTGTAATTATATATGTATACAGTAATTATATAAATAGAATATGTTTTTTGGAAATCAGGTTATTTGACTTAAAATTTTATCACCACTTTTGAAATATGAGGAATTCTGGGTGGCATTTTTATTGTAACTCAAACATTTGAGTTATACAGCTTTTTCAGTCTACAGTAGTGGCTGTTTGTATGGTCCCAGCACTCCTGATCTGACTAATCAGCAAATGACCAGACCTTCCCTAATCTACAGTTTTATCCATCATTCTGGATGCACCTACATTTCCTTATTTTTTTTTACAGATTTGTACAAATTTTTTGAAACATCGGAAAGCATAGGGCTGTAGAGAGGTTTATACAGGCACCTATAGTGTCCCAAATTTTCTTCTTTCATTAAGTACCTTTATTCTCATTATACTTGCACAGTACAATGAAATTCTTTGCATATCCCAACTTAGAAAGCTGGGGTCAGAGCGCAGGGTCAGCCAGGATACGGCGTCCCTGGAACACAGAGGGTTAAGTGCCTTGCTCAAGGACCCAACAGTGGCAATTTTGCGGACCGAGGTATTGAACCCACAACCCTGTGATCAATTGCCAAGATGTCCACTAAGCCACCACTGCCCTAAATGTTTGCATTGTGCATATTCAAGTGTGATATTAAAGCTTGTATGTTTCAGGAAATCAATTATATCCATCTGTTATATTTAAGATTTTAACCTGGAAACTTGTGATGGACATTTTGAAGACATCTACTAATCTAAAACTGCATTATATGACTGCATTCTTTGAGTGGCCACCTTATGCATTGATGCATTGTGTTTCATAATAGTTCCTGCCTTAATGCTGTGACTGCACAGTCACTGTGTTACAATATTTGAAAATTGCAAATTAATGTTGCCCTTATCTTTCTGTGGCTTGGCATTCATGGTTGTATCTTTGTTGTGCTTTACTGGTAGAATTTTAGTGCCCTCTTCTGGTGGAGGGCTCTAAGATCACCTCCTTCAGATTTAATGGTCGGACTTCATACCATCTCTAATAACCATGTAGTTACACATTAACAATGCCTGCAACTGCTATGTAACTACTGCTATGCATTCTCTGTTACAAATGGATTACAGTAGTGGAGTTTATTTGTAAATACAATACAAAAATTTCAGTTTTTACTCATGTGTAACACAATGAAATTTTTTTTTCACAGAAACAACAGATGTTCACATATCTCGAAAAGTATAAGTAATGTAATTAATTGAAATATGTGTTGTATTATATGGCCCCAAAACAATCTGGATCTGTAATTTTACTGTACTTAAATAGGAACTACATAGGCACTCTCCGCTTATTTTAAAGAGTAAGTTTTATGTAGTTACTGATCAAGTCGCATGGATTAATACTAATCTGTAATTTCACAGTAAATATTGCCCATTATGGAACAGTTTAAAGCCAGAACTTTTGTTTATCATGTCACAACACAAGCATACCACTACAGCTACCTAAATGCTCGGAAAATTGGCATTTCCTGTGCAGATGCAATGTAAGTACTCTTAAAGTGCAGGTAATTACACATCTGTTACAAAAGTGTTGTTGGAAAAAACACTGTTACACGTGTAATTACATAAGAGAAACTATCAAGATACTTGATATACATGTGTATTTACATAAACTGTTCTACTGTAACAAATCTGTAACAGTGAATGCATCACTAGTAGTTACACTGTTGTTGCGTGTATTATTAATGTGCAGCTACACATTTATTAGCCCTTAATGTAAAGTGGGACCAATTCAATTTTGATCAGTTTACATCTTACAATAACCAAAACATTGTTTTTTCCCCAGTGTTCAGTTTAATTTTAATGTATCTTGACATATAAATCTTCCAAATACAAGTTTAATTGAGAAAACAAAATGCAGTTATGAAATATACCAACACAGATAATATACAAACATGAAATTATGGGAAAAAATAAATGTCATTTTTGCATATTGTTAACCTTGTGCAGAGTTATTGTTCAATTACAAATAAAAATGTTAGCTTTACATTTTCATCTTGATAGTTGTGTATCTTCGTAACACTCTTCATGTCAAGTATAAGTGGATATGATGAGTTTAAAGCCCCGATCAGGAATTGTTACCATAGCAAACCACATTTGACTACTGCAACAACAGAGGTTTATATATATAATCAGCTACAACGTACGCCCTCTGTTTTTTAAAGTCAATGCTACTGCAGAGGCAGCGATGGCACGGTTCTGACAATTTCTAATGGGGACTTTGATAGAAAAAAAATAAGCTGTGAAATCAGAATATAACAAACTTAATTCCAAAAAAGTTAGGACAGTAGTAAAAAATCTAAATAAAAAAGGAATTATTAATTAGCGCTAATTCTTTATGACCTGTGTTCAATTCAAAACAGTATGAAGACAAGATATTTCATGTGTCTATTAATTAATGTTATTGTTGTTTGTATCCATATGCTTATTCTAAATTTGATACCTGCAACATGTTACAAAAAAGTTGGGGCAGGGCATGTTTACCACTGTGTTACAAAACCTTTGGGAAATGAGGGCACCAATTGTTGTAGTTAGGAAAAGTGGACATTTTTTCTCCATTCTTGTTTAACACTACAGGTGCTCAATATTCCAGGGTCTTCATAATACATCTGGCACTTCTTAATATGCCATACATTTTCAACGGGAGACAGGTCTGGTATGCAAGCAGGCCAGTCTAGCACCTGCACTCTCTTACTATGAAGCCACACTGTTCTGCTGAAACAAGCAGGAATGTCCCTGAAAAAGACGTTGTCTAGATGGCAGCATATGTATATCCAAATTGCATATACACCCCTCAACATTAATGCTGCCTTCACAAATGTGCAGGTTACCCACTAAAACCCCCCTTCATACTATGATAGACATTGGCTTTTAAACCTTACGCTGGTAACAATCAAGATGGTCCCTTTCCCCTCTGGCCTGAAGAACATGACACTGACTATTTCCAAAAACAGTCTGAAAGGTGGAGTCATCAGAGCACAACACGTTTCTCTTTTCAGTCCATATCAGATGAGCTTTAGCCCAGAGAAGTTGGCGGCGTTTCTGGAGGTTGTTGACATCTGAACCTTTAATAAATGTTATGAACTGTAACTGCTTTGCAAAACATTTCTTCTTAAACCGTTGGACAATTTTTTGCAAAGCGGCAACTGAGCCTTTCATGAATGCTCCTTTTATACCCAAACATACTGGCATCATCTGTTACCTATTCACATATTGCCTGTGGAAAGTTCCAAAGCAGGTTTTTTGATCATTCCACAAAGTTCCCAGTTGTACATTGCCTGTTCCAACATTTTTGGAATGTGTTGTAGACATAAAGTTTGGAATGAAAGTATATTAACAAAAACCAATAAAGGTGACAAGGTAAAATAAATGTCACTTATTTGTGTTGTTTTCACTTAAATACCTAAATTAAAAGACAGTTTACAAATTGTTTTTTATTTGCATTTTATCTACTGTCTACTTTTTTGGAATTGTGTTTGCATTACTAACATAGAAAATTTACTATTATAAGACAGCAAGAAAAATGGAAGTGACAGAGAAAGAGATGATAGTTGAGATGAAAGAATTAAAAAGAAAAAACAGATAGTAGATTCAGAGATAAGATTTTGACATCAACCAGTGCAACTGATGGCCAAATAAGAAGAGACATAATAAATACAAAAATGAAACTGAACATTGTAGCCCATTTGGTCTACATTATTTTACTATTCATTTAGCGGTTTACCATTCATTTAGCTGTGGAGTTCATGTAGAGGTAACTTCATTGATCAGGAACATTCAACAATTTTACCAAGCAAAAGCTCTTTTTCCAGAGATGTATGATAGATAACTGTAAACAGGATACATTGTGTCTTTTTAGCAAGGCTGTCAAAAAGACTTGTTATTAAACTGGAATTTCACCGGTTTTTCAAAAAAATTCACATATTTCAATGGTTGAGATGTAAACAAAGTTCAGAGTGGTTTGATGTGAAATGGTTCACTCTAGAGAAACTTAGCAACTCATTAGTGGTGATAGGAACAAGACGTTGCAATGTTTACGATGCAAATACAGGCATTTTATTTACGATCCAAAACCACTAGTGAACCTTTGCCTAAATTTTTATATGTAATACTAATGATGGTAAAATTGTGATAAATCTGGAAAAAGACTATTTTGCCTTACAACATTTTATTTTTAACATCTATTCATGGTGGAAAGGTACATGACCTTTCCACCATGAATAGATGTTAAAAATAAAATCTAAAAAGGTTTCTGCCAAAAATCTTGCTGTAAAACAGTGTCTCAGGCATCGGTCAGTGAATTCACAACCATTATATGTAATAACTTTCTGTGAGGGAGCTTTTAGAGGTGGATGTCTGGTTCCTATAACCACCACTGTGAAAAATTCTATGTTTTTCTGAAATGGAGCACATCAAACCACTCTGAGTGACTTTATTTACATCTCAAAGACTGAATGGACAATTTGAAAAATCGGTAGAATTCTCTTTTAACGGCACATTTTAATTTAGACTAAATTTACATGTTTTCTTTTTTTTTTTACATTTAATTTCAAGCTTATAGCAAAAAAGCTGAACGAAACATTCTTCTCCAAATCACTGAAATTTGTTATGAAATCTCTTCATTTTTATTTGCATTTTACTTCCAACTCACATAGCCTGATGTAGCAAATCATCGCTGCCATAACAAAACTTCGCATCTCCCTTGGTTACTTTATATGTGGTGGAAATATGTTCCAGACCTGAATGTAACAAGATTGTATTTGGACCATTTCTATTGATCCGTTCATCATGATATGTTCACACAATACAAAGTGCAGCTGGTGTTTTTGAATAGTCTAAAATAATAATAATAATAATAATAATAATAATAATACTGAAAGAAGCAAAAAATAAATAAATAAATAGACTTAGAAAGTTTTGATATGGCAGCGATGACATCAAATTCTTCTTTTTCAAAATCTTCTCTTTTCTGGGAGACTGACCCAAAATGCAAATGAGGCAGAGGGAGAAAAGGGCTGTCTGAGTTTCTGAGCATGTTGAAGAGTCTTGCTGTGCTAAGGCTCTCCTCTGAGTGCAATAGGAGGTTAAGGAGAGTAGTCGCTGAGTGTCTTATGATGTGCTTATACACTTTCCCCCAAACACAGAGAGGGCTTCTAGTTTCTCATGTTGTCAAGGTGGAGAACCAAACCTGCAGCCCCCCTCCCTCCTCCCCCCCAGTCTCAGCAGGAAGAGGCACTGATCTTCTCTGACACTTCAGGATCTGACTTAGCAACGAGAAACCGGAGCCGTCCTCCACCCAGTCTGATCAAATCTACAGCACTGAGAGAGAGAGAGAGAGAGAGAGACAGAGAGAAAGAGAGAGAGAGAGAGAGAGAGAGAGAGAGAGAGAGACATAGGGGGATACAGTCAGTTCTGCACTTCTCTGGCCCACAGGGATAGTCGATATGTTTTAATAGATATTGTATTGATTACTTCCTATGGCAAGGACAACACCTTGAATGTGTCAAATGCTGAACACCTTCTATTGTGGTGGCTTTTAAGTGTTTTTTCTCCAAAAATGTTTATTTTTTCCATAGTTTCCAAAGTTTTCCTTATTTTTTTTCAAAAATAAACATTTAAAAACTATTTATGTTGTTATTCTTTTATTCAAATTACATTTGACTTGGTGTTTTCTTTATTATTATTATTATTTTAAATCTTGGACTGTTGTATTTCTATTCATTTTTGAATGTTCTGGGTAGTTTCCAGCATGGATTTCAGTATAGAGTCATAGAGTCATTCCCCCCTCTGGAAAATTGGCATGTTCTGCTAATGTTCTAAGTAAAAAAGGCTAACATTTTTTCTACAGAGAACACACGGAACGCCTTTTATTTTTTACTCTAGTGCACAATTTCTATTTATTTGCTGGCATGGAAAAAAAAAAAATTACAACCCCATTTCCAAAAAAGTTAGGATGCTGTGCAGAATGTAAATAAAAATAGGATGCAATAATATGCAAATCATGAAAACTACAAAATACTACAAAGACAACATATCAACTTTTATTGTTTTTTGAAAAATATATGCCCTTTTTGAATTTGATGCCAACAACATGTTCCAAAAAGGTTGGGACGGGGGCATGTTTACTACTGTGTTTCATCACCTCTTCTTTTAACAACACTCGGTAAGCGTTTGGGAACTGAGGGGACACTGCTGTAGTTTTGAAAAATATCTTCTTTGATATAGGTTTTCAGCCGCTCAACAGTTCGGGGGCTACTTTGTCGCATTTTTCATTTCATAATGCACCCAATGTTATTAGTGGGTGACAGGACTGGACAGCAGGCAGGTCAGTTTAGCACCCGCACTCTTTTAATACGGAGCACTTTTGTTATAATACATGCAAAATGTGGCTTGACATTGTCTTGCTGAAATAATCAAGGCTGGAACTGAGATTTTGGAATTGAGTTTGTTATATTCTGATTTCACAGCTTTTTTTTTTTCTATCAAAGTTCCCATTAGAAATTGTCAGGACCGTGCCATCGTTGCCTCTGCAGTAGCATTGACTTTAAAAAACAGAGGGCGTACGTTGTAGCTGATTATATATATAAATCTCTGTTGTTGCTTTCCTGAAAAAGACGTTGTCTGGATGGCAGCATATGTTGCCAAAACCTTTAAATATCATTCAGCATTAATGGTGCCAGTCACCCATGCCATGTGCACTAATGCAACTCCATACCATCACGGATGCTGGCTTTTTAACTTTGCACTGATAACAAGCCTGACAGTCTTTAGCCTGGAGAACACAGTGACCATGATTTGAAAAAAACATTACAAATTTCTTCGGACCACAGAACACTTTTCCCCTTTGTCTCAGTCCATCTCAAATGAGCTCACACAGTCTTTCACAGAGTGTTTTTTTTTTAGCATTATACAACTTTTCTAGTCTTTTGTTGCCCCTGTCCCAACTTTTTTGGAACGTGTTCCTGCCAATAAATTCAAAATAGGCACACATTTATCAAGAAACAGTAAAATTTCTCAGTTTCAACATTTCATATGTTGTCTTTGTACTATTGTGGACTATATTATAATAGGGTTGTAGTTTTTCTTCTTTTTTCAATTTTTTTTCAAATTTTTTTTTTACCTTAGACTGTTATTTTTCTATGCATTTTTAAATGTTCGGGGTTGTTTCCAGTATACATTTCAGTATACAGTCGTAGAACACCCTTGGCCAAATGGCATATTTGGTAAATGTTATGTGAAAAAGGTTAACACATCCTCTCCAGAGATCACACTGAAATATGCCATTTATTTTCTGTTTATTTACTGGAGTGGAAAAAAAAAACAAAAAACAAAACATAAAATATAAAACATACCATAACTTTGGCAACAACCACATTTTATCTTTGTCTTTTTCCCCAATTTGACACATTCAGCAAATAAACAATAATTGTGCATTACAACATGCAGAGGTGTGTGTATATGTGTGTATATTTTCACTTAAAAATTTCACAACATGTAATTTAACAGGGGCGCTCAAACTTTTGCATACAACTGTATGTGTATGGTTTCCTCTGCAGGTAGATCTTCTGTATTTGGCAAGTGGATAAAACTGGTATGGCCACAATTTTTTGCAACCAAGCTAATAAGTGCTGAGCAGTTATATAGTAAAGCGTTTCAGCGAATCTGTTAAATTTTTGGAAAATTCATAAAATGTTCCAAGAACATCTTGGATTGTTCTTGTCTTAGTTTTGGTGCTGGTGGCTGTACAAGAACAGAATCTGGATGCAGTTCCATGCCCATTAGAGGTCATTATTGTAAACGTACCTTACTTTATAGCCACACATTTCACATAAAAACCTGATAATATCATTTTAAAAAGACTCTGAAGCTGTAAGGAAAAACACTGGATTATGTGTATAACTATGCATACTGTGCCAAAGCTTGTGCCAAGATTTGTACACTGTGACTGTGAATAAGAGAGAGAAAATGAGGACAGATGGAAGCTGAGCATATGCATGCGTGAATGGTGCTGACCTCTGGTAATCGGCTCCAATGAGACTGGTTCCATTTACAGCCAGGATTCTGTCTCCAATATGCAATCGGCCATCTGAAGCTGCTGGCCCATCAGGGATCAGTGTGCGGATGTAGATTCCGGGTGAGTTCAGAGGGGTGTGCTGCACATACAGAGTAGGTAACGTAGATGGACAATGTTATCATCAGAGATACAGAGTAACCCTCAAGGCTTTAGAATGAGATTTTCAGTATTAAATATCTTAATCCTTTGAGTATAAGGAACATGTATACATACACTGGGTATAAGGACCGTATAAATATATTAATAGGCCAATTCATGTGGCTTGATATTGGATTTAAAGACAAAAGCTAAAAGTAAGAGGCTATTGGTTTTGAGGTACATTTTGTACACCATTTGTTTCCGACCTTTAGTGTTTTTTACATCATCTGTTGGAAAAATATGTTTGTTGTTATGTTTTCTTCATGTGTTCATAAATATGTACAAAATAATAAACATCAAAAAAAACATGCTGCAGTGCCTTAAAGGTTTATGGAAGACTTGCAAGTCCACACAAGTCCACAAAGCATTGCTGATATCACACCACATGCATGAACAAACAGTGGTTAATCAATATGGATTCAGAGTCATATGGATGGTTGTAGGACTTATGATTATGAGTTGCTGGCAATGACGTACAGTATTCGTAGTGTATATTGGCCGTGGTGTGAGGATCGCCGCCTACCACACAGTACAATAAGAACCACTATACGTTTAGATCATTTTAAGTACTTCCATGTGACTTTTTAGCATTGTAGCATCAATAGCCAGTTGGAAAGCATTGCAGTTTGTTGGCTAGGTGACGTGGATGCCCGTCATGAATACACCTATCAGGCATATCATTATGACCACCTCCTTGTTTCTATGCTCCACTTACTATATAGGTGCACTTTGTAGTTCTACAGTTACAGACTGTAGTCCATCTGTTTCTCTGCATACTTTGTTAGCCCCCTTTTACCCTGTTCTTCAGTGGTCAGGACCCCCATGGACCCTCACAGAGCAGGTACTATTTGGGTGGTGGATCATTTTCAGCACCGCAGTAACACTGATGTGGTGGTGGTGTGTTGGTGTGTGTTGTGCTGGTGTGAGTGGATCAGACACAGCAGTGCTGCTGGAGTTTTTAAACATCTCAGTGTCACTGCTGGACTGAGAATAGTCCACCAACCAAAAATATCCAGCCAACAGCATCCTGTGGGCAGCGTCCTGTGACCACTGATGAAGGACTAGAGGATGACCAACACAAACTGTGCAGCAGCAGATGAGCTATCGTCTCTGACTTTACATCTACAAGGTGGACTGACAAGGTAGGAGTGTCTAATAGAGTGGACAGTGAGTGGACACAGTGTTTAAAAACTCTAGCAGCACTGATCCACTCAGACCAGTGCAACACACACTAACACACCACCACCACATCAGTGTTACTGCAGTGCTGAGAATGATCAACCACCCAAATAGTACCTGCTCTGTGAAGGTCCATGGGGGTCCTGACCACTGAAGAACAGGGTAAAAGGGGGCTGACAAAGTATGCAGAGAAACAGATGGACTACAGTCTGTAACTGTAGAACTACAAAGTGCACCTATATAGTAAGTAGAGCTGATAAAATGGACAATGAGCGTAGAAACAAGGAGGTGGTCATAATGTTACGCCTGATCAGTGTATATACTGCATTCAACTAAACTAGCTTTGGTTTGTAACACTTTCCATTATTAACAACATTTTTTTTCTATCTAAAGACATTGGTTTATGAAATATGTTGTAGTTTGTGGCTTTAAAAAAAGGATACTAACATAACGAATGAATACTCAAGTATTTAAATAATTCAGGCTAGCCGTACTATATGGTGCCAATTGCTTCCAACTACCAGGGTGTTTATTTTAGGGTAGAGCCGAAACTCACAAGTCCATCGATAAGTCCCATGCCAAGGCCATAAGGTCCTTTGTCCAGGTCCACTACAAAGACGGAACAGATAGCATCAGAGTTGGGGCCCAGGGTATGGGGCAGAGGGACGGGGAAAGGTAAGCCACAACCACTCAGAGGGCCTGGTGGAGTGGACACACACGCGCACAAGACTAAAGGGTTTGTATTACACATATACACACTCACAATAACATGCAATATCCAGGTCACAGGCAAAACTAGTGAGGCAAGTTGCAGACACCTTTACGTTACGCACACCCAAACTCTTATTGGTGTAGGACAGATTGAGCAAACATGGATGTGCACACGAAACCATACAACAATACACATTTCCTTAAACAAACATGAACATATGGGTGATTCCTCAATTCAGGGACCTTTCAACCTTATCTAAAAATGAAAATGTAAAGCTTTTATCCAGCCCTTACAGTCTATGAACAGTTTAGCCAGAAGTGGTAAGAAAATTCTTTAGACATGTGTGGTAAAATTTTGCAGGCACAATTCAATGCAGTCTATGTTGTTTAAACCAAATGAGCTTTGGACCACAGAATAAAGCTTTCGGCTAGCATTGAATAGTTCCGTAGTTCATTCAATAGTTCATTTTCTCCTCAACATAAAGCTCAAATATAGAGAAATAAAGAAAAAAAAAGCAGAAAGCACATTCCTTGAGACATGTCATGGAACTTACGAAGCTTCAAATGAGTGCAATAACTCCTTTAGGAGACAGTATGGAGTAACGATTGATCAAGTTGTGTCTATCTTTAATTTAAAGTTACCTCTGTCTTTTGTTATGCTTGTAGTTAAAGCTAACTGGCTCCGACAAGACTGGGTAAAGCTACTATGACCACCAAGTGCATCAGAACGTAGTTGACGTGGTTTCCCGTTTGCTCTTTTGCTGTTTTTAGGATTAGCACTTTGTTAGCTATGCAGGTAGCTAAACTAACACTATCAGCATATAGCTAATTTTTGCCTAGTCAAAAGTTAGCAATTGCACTTGGTTTCATGAACTGTTCACAACATTGGCTCAACTGATCAGAACAAGTGTTTTCTTTGCATACAGTACTGTGCAAAAATGAGAGACCACCCTTCATAGAGGTCATTTCCAGAGGTCAAAACAACCATTAAGTCACAGTTATCAGTTTTTCAAAAGATATCTCTTATTTTATTTTTCCCCCAGTTTTCTCTCCAATTTAGTCGTATCCAACTGCACCCACTTGTTAGAACTCCCCCAGTCACATAATACCACCAGCACTAGGAGGGCGAAGGCTAGCACAGGCTTCCCCCTGTCCTGTGAAGCGCCACCACATCTTTTCAAACTGTTGCTCATGCAACGTCACTGGACAGCCAAACGCACTCAGAGGAAAGCGGCAACCGCCAGATCTGTTACGTCAGCTGACTTCTGCGCAGACTAGTATCATGCTGAGTGATGGGGGGTGGGGAAGGGGTGGTCATCCTATCCACCCCGAGAGTGAGGCCAATTATGCTCTCTTGGACTCCCGGCCACGGATGGCTGTAGCATCACCAGCGATCTCCTGATGATAGGGCCAATGCTTAGACCAGAGCCAACGGTTGTACCACTCGGGAGCCCCAGAAGATATTTCTAAGAAGATGTGACTCCTAGCAACCACCTACAAGACCTGGTAGACCACCAAAACTGCCCCCGTCAGATAAACAACACTTAAAGCTTTCATCTTTAAGAGAGAGGAGAAAATCAAGCTGCTTCAGATCTGAAAACATCCACAGGTGTTTCTGTCCATCCTTCCACTGTGAGAAGACGAGTAGCTGTCAAGAAGAACCTCACTGAGAAAAGGAGACACATCAAATAAAGAAGCTGAGCAATGGACTGACCACCCCAGAGTCCAGACCTCAACATCACAACTTCACAACATCACAACTTCTAAGACTGAGCTTTGGAGGTGTAGAAAAATATCCCTGCGCGTGTCTTTGAAAAACTGAAAGTGAGTCTCCTGCAGAGAATGGAAGCTGTAATAAAGGCAAAATACTGAAAAAAAAACAAATATATATATATATATATATATATATATATATATATATATATATATATATATCTGTGCAATTGGCTTTTAACTGTATGTTTTCTGGCTTTTATTCCTGAAAACATGTACTTCACTGGCCATTTTGACAGTACTGTATATAGCATTATATAGAAATATAGCATAACAGAACATTGCTGTGATTTACAATGTATCCCTAATTGAAGAGACACCCATACACAAACATACATACAGAAACAAAACTAAAAGAAGGAGAAAAGGTGCAATGTGAGTTTCCAACTAACCTTCAATGCCATTACTGATGAATCCATTGATCTTCTTGTGCTCGGGGGTGGAGCGCACACACCCGTTGGCCTGTGTGTGAATGCGTGAGTGTGTGTGTTCGGGGTAAAGAGGTATGGCAGACTGTGTGCCAGTGTGTGAGTGTGCGAGCTCTGGGTAGAGGGGTGTGTTTGGGGGAGTTAGCAGACAGGATGACTCTGGACCGTGGCTCTGGCTGCTGTGGCGGATGGCGGTCCCATTTCTGTAGTGAGTGCTGTGTGGTGGTCTGTCTAGAGGTCTGTCTTCTGCTCCTGCCCCCTCTCCTCGTCCCCCGAGGGTCCCGGAGCAGTCTCGCACCTCGCCCTCTCCCTCCCCTCGCTGGGGTGCACCAGGCCGGGGGCTGCTGTGGGCCTGAAGATGGTCGCGCTGGAAAACATCATGCAGCAGCTGGGAGTAAGGCTACGTTCACATTGTCAGGCTAAAATCCACTTTTTGATGTTTTCAAAGCTGTGTGGACACATAAATCTGATCTTTTCAAATCATATATTTTTCTCTGCATTTTTCTATTCCAATTTAATCATTATATTCTGTCATACAGTGGCACATTGCCTTTAATAAACATATTATAATGCCTTCTGAATTCCCTTCTAGCATTTTTTTCAGTTTTTGTCCAGAAAAATCTCCCATGATTTCTCAAACATAAAGCACACTCTGAATAGTGCATAGACAAGTGAACCAGGGTAACACAATAGGAAAGACTAGAAGACAGACAACAGAAACAAAACTACAAAATACTGTGAGAAGTGCCCCATGCTGGACATCCAGCAAGTGCACACATACATATTCCATTGAAGAACTGATGGTTTGAGTACATTAGCCATATATTTGCTTCCCATACATTTGCATACAGTGGAAATTCCAATTATTACAAAAAAATACTTTTTTTTAATGCAATAAATTGTAATTCTATTGTAGCTACAATGTATTGGTGCTTTTTAGCCTGTTAGTCAGGCCAGTTTGTCTTGAAATAAGTATTATGAGAATCTTGTCAATGGTGTTTACATGTATGGCATTTGGCAGACGCAATTACAATTTTAATCATTTTACACGGATAGGCGAAGGTAGTGTTAGGAGTCTTGCCCAAGGATTCATTGGTATAGTGTAGGCTACTTACCCACGCAGCTGATTGAACCCCAGTCTACAGCATAGAAGGCACCCACTACACTATACCAACCAGTGTTCTGCTGCCAAAATGATACTGTATCTTCTGTAATACTGCTCAGTGCCATACGTTTCACACATGGGCTCAAAATGCTGCTATAATCTCCCTAAACAGGCTTAAGCATGCATTAATTACACTGATACGAACATTGGCTAAAAAAATAACCAGCCAAATAAAAATGGACATGTTTTGGATTCATCTTTAAACAATGCCTCTGTACTGCAGAAATTTGGAGTGTTCTTCTCTGAGGGATTAGAATACGCACACAGTGGCCATAATCCGTCCAGCTGAGAGGTGCTTAATTACAAAGCTAATCCCATAATCAGATTAAGTGTGACTCTCGTGTCTACCAATTTGGTTTGGATTGAACCTCAGAACTCATCTTGGTTGTCAACTTCAGACCTTATGAACCTGACTTGCAAAGGCTAACATTAAAAACAGAACGAGAGCAGATGTTTGGTTGAGATGTTTGGCATGATCCAGTGATTAGCCAAGGCACTAATACAGAATTTCGCCTAGATTTGAACAATGTTGGTGTGCATGTGCGTCATCAAACATGTGCAGGTCCAGAGTAGTAACAAAAATACTATATGCAACGTTTACACTGTGTATACACTATACACAGTGTAAACATTGCATATGTGAATATACTTTTAGTTAAAAGTTAGAAGTTACACATTCCCTGCTCTTTTATTTTTAAACTACAATTATGAGGAAGTTCACAGTTAGCTTATTTCTTTAAGGAGAATTGAGGTGTGACTAATTTCATACTGGCTCAAAGAATAATTAGCAAATATTTCTAAAGAAATGTATAAAAACAATGTTAGTAGTTCCTTAAACTAACACTAAACACTGTTAAGATGATCAAGGCTTAATACAAACCTCAATTCCAACAAAAGTTGGGACAATAAGCAATACTTTGTAAATCCACTTTGACCTGTACTTAAATGAAAACATGTCAACAACGACCAGAAACAACGCTGACTTCTCTGAAACAACGCTGCACAAGCTCATCTGAAATGGACTGATGCACAGTGGAAACGTGTACTGAGGTCTGACGAGTCAAGCTTTTAGGTTGTTTAATGAAACAATGGACATTGTGTTCTCCAGGTCAAAGAAAAAAAGACTCATCCAGATTGTTACTGGTGTAAAGTTGAAAAGCCAGGGTCTCTCATAGTATGTAGGGTGTATTAATGGTTAACTTGAATATCTGTAAAAGCACCACTAATGCTGTAAGATATTTAAACATTTTAGAACAACAAAGTCTGCCCTTTAGACGCCGTCTTTTTCAGGGATGTTCATGCTTATTTCAACATGAAAATGCCAACCCACATTGTGCATAATCAGAGACTGCGGGTGCTCTACTGGCCTACCCGTGATCCAGACCTCCCATTGGAAACGTGGTGCATTATGAAGCACAAAATGCAAGAATGCAGGCCCCAAACAGTTGCATAGCTAAAGACTTGTAGAACTGTAGAATGGCAAACAATTCTTCCTGTATAACAGAATCAGCTGGCATCTTCAGTCCCCAAATGACTTTTAAGTGTTGTTAAAAGGAAAGATGACATAACACAGTAGTAAACATGCTTCTGTCCCGTTTGGGACATATTGCAGGCATCATACTTGGAATGGGAAAAAATAATAATAAAGTTCATGAGATAAAACATCAAATACCATGTTTTTGTACTTTTTTTTCGATATAAAACAGGTCAAAGTGAATGTACTAATCACTACTTTCTGTTTTGTTAGCATTTCAAATTCTGTCCCAACTTTTTTGGACTTCAGGTTTGTACTTCTGCTGTAGATTGCTTATGTCTGCAAACATTCGGAGCTCTAGTTGCTTTTATGCGTCAATAAAATTTCCAGACTGTGGCTGTAAAAGGTAATTAAACCTCTGGTATATTTACATTTGTGAGGAAAACACACCTGGATCTCCTGTCTGTCTGCGCTGCCATTGGCTGGATGTGTCTTGGAGCGAAGACCCCACAGGAAGTGCCTGATGTAGAGTAGCTGCCTGTAGATACTGTCCTCCACACTGTCACTCTCCAGGTCCACCTTAAAGCCAGCGCTGGGTAACACAATGGGAGGGTGGTTCTCGAAGCTTTCCAGCAGATCCACTGTAACGTACACATGCATAAATACTCATGTTCTTACAAACGCTTACAGACACGGGCCATCAAAAGATGGGCACCTTGCCTTTCCACTGAAATTTGAATTTTCTCACTGGTACTTTTCAATTAAAGAGGAAAAATACAACAGTTTGTTTAGCTTAAAAAAACTATGTGCTAATCCTTTAAGTGGATTTAGCTTCAACATTCAGCTTCATGTTCATCAAAATGTCTTCCTGGTAGGAACAGCAGGTTTTGCCTACATAATGATTTCAAACTATTACTTTCTTGATATCTCATCTTTTTTCATCATCATGGCAAAATAAATGTTATCTTAATAAAACGATGTCCGTTACACTGTGATAATGAGGTAAATAATCCAAGATCTTGAGAAAACAACATTTGTTTTGCCGTGATAAGGACAGAAATGTAATGAGATCTTTAGAAAATAAATAAAAATAACTCGTTCAACATGCAAATCCATGGGCCTTTAGGGCTTCCATAAGAAACACCTTTACCATTTTTACAGAAAAGACTTTATGTTTACAGAAACACTCAGAAAGATGCACTATAAACTCAATTTATAGTCATTAACTGTTATAGTTTCTCTGAACAATCTAAGAAGTGTACATTATATGGAGCTTTATATTGAATTAGTCATACATTAAGACAGTAAGAAGCTAACTATATACAAAATCATCAATTATAGGGTATTATTACCTATTATATAATTATAGGGGATCTTTTTGATTCTTTTGAAGTGAAATTTAATTTTCAAATGAACTTTATTCAGTAGAGGCTGATTTATGCTTTCATGTCACTACTGTAACACAAAGAGTTTAAGTCTATAGGTGAAGCCTTATTTTAGCCACAACCCCTGCATTGTAAAGCAGGAAGTGAGACGGCATCCCTGTTCCTCAAGGCCACATGGTGAGCAGTTAGATCCCATTGTTTTAAAGTAATTGTGTCCCAAAGTCAAAGAACTTTAAAATGGTCAAAGTTGTCACTACTGAAACATTTGGTAATGTTTCGGCAGTGTTATGATTGCTTTGTTAGTGGCAAAATGGAATTTTCAACTTTGTTATTGGGTCACAGAAACATAATCTACCATTCAAATATTTGGAATCACTTGCATTGCTTGTTTTTCTATCAGCTTACTATACAATGATTTCATTAAAAATTGACCAACATTCATCAAAATGCATTTTAGGTATTTTAAGCAGTTTTCAAAATAAATTTTAATACATTTTCAAAAAACAAATATATTAAATAGTGAAAAATACATTGTAATTATTTATTTACATTATTGTTTCATCTGCCTTGAGATTTGAAATACAACAAATTACGTTTTTTTAATTTTACTGAAACTTAACTGTCGATGTTATACAGCTTTCTCAGTTATTTTAAAACATATGGCTCCATTAATCAATTTCCAAAATTTCATTTTTCTTTTCCTTTTTAAGGTTGCTAGATTTCTAATACTTACACCGATCAGTCATAACATAAATGACCACCTCCTTGTTTCTATGCTCATTGTCCATTTTATCAGCTCCACTGAGAACAGTCCACCAACCAAAAACTTCCAGCCAACAGCGTCCTGTGGGCAGCGTCCTGTGACCACTGATGAAGGACTAGAGGATGACCAACACAAACTGTGCAGCAGCAGATGAGCTATCGTCTCTGACTTTACATCTACAAGGTGGACTGACAAGGTAGGAGTGTCTAATAGAGTGGACAGTGAGTGGACACAGTGTTTAAAAACTCCAGTAGCACTGCTGCGTCTGATCCACTCAGACCAGCACAACACACACTAACACGCCACCACCACGTCAGTGTTACTGCAGTGCTGAGAATGATCCACCACCCAAATAGTACCTGCTCTGTGAGGGTCCAGGGGGAACAGGGTAAAAGGGGGCTGACAGAGTATGCAGGGAAACAGATGGACTACAGTCTGTAACTGTAGAACTACAAAGTGCACCTATATAGTAAGTGGAGCTGATAAAATGGACAATTAGCTTAGAAACAAGGAGGTGGTCATAATGTTATGACTGATCGGTGTATCTAAAACATGTGAAGTTGCATTTTAGAATAATTTTGTACATTTATTTTATTTAAAACATTGATTTCAAACTATTGAACAGTAGTGTATGAATAATCAAGCTCAAATGCACACTGCACTCGTACACACATACCTGTTCTGTAGATGTAGGCTTCATCTTCGCTGCTTGGTTGCCACATTGGGAGATGTCCCACCTCAGCAATGAGCTGGTACTGCGTAAGAATTCTGTGCAGCTGGACTGGTTTCAGAGTGGGGTGCTCCGCACACAACACCTTCCAACTCATCTACACATACACACACACGAAAAGATAAGATAAGATAAGATTTAAGATAAGATCTACACCAGGGGTTTTCAACCTTTTTCACTCCAAGCCCCACCTGTTTATAACTATAAAGCATAGCGGCCCACAGAAAAACTAAAAACCTGTGAATTAGCGCCTGAAAACGATCAGATCGTCCATTTTACTTCAATCACCAAAAAACAAAATTTGCAGTTATAGTAAAAAACATAACATGGTAAAAAGAAACATGTTTGCAGAGATGTCAAAACAGGGGAAAGAGAAAAAAGGTAGATGTACATGTGGACTGTGATTTGGAGCTGCAGTCCATCATGATTTCATTGAAAATACTCTCGTGGCTCCCACAGGAGTCACGGTTTGGTCTGAAGATGTCTCTGTAGTTTTGAGCGTTTTAGCGCCTCATTTGAAATAAACCTCACTCCACTCACGCTTTTGGATCAGCGTCGCTACAATCAACAATAATAATAAAGCTTGATATCTGCTTCTTTGTCATCAGTTTAAAAAATTGAGTTTAACTATTCAGGTCCCTGATGCTCGGCCAGAAATCAAACACAGATCACAGCTATTATTTTATGGCTGGTCTTTTTATCAGCTGCAGCTCGAGCTGCAGGAACGACATTAGAGCAAAAAGTCAGACGTTAAAACAGGCAGATTATACTGACGGTACAGCGCTGACGTCCTGCTAGAAGAAGAGGAGAGCCGTCTCCTCGTTTCATCATAGAATGCGTTCACACCGGCAGTGAACTGCACAGGGTTCTTTTGGAAGCAGACCGAGACCGCAGGGTTCAGCTGTTTGTTTCAGACCCGAATACGGGTGGAGGTCACACACGTCAGAACAGAGCGAACTAAAGAAAAAAGTTCCGCACTGAACAATTGTTCCAAACTGCATTGTTTCAAACTGATGGCGTCTAATTAGCCTGCAACAGCAAGGTTTTTGTTTATACGTCTCTACCAGCCCACTACGAACTACTGCCTCCAAATTCAGGCCCGTGGACCACTAAAGAGTGCTTCATGGCCCACTGGTGGTCCACGGCCCACAGGTTGAGAAATCTGGATCTATACAATACAATAGCTTCAAACTTACATGCATCTTTTGGCTGAAAATGTCTTTGCACTTAAAAGCACGTTAAAAATGCATATTAAAAACAGTTTTATTTGTTAAAGCTAACACTGTTGGGAATTTGGGGACCTCGCTGGTGAAAATATGTAATTGCATGCAATGTGTGGAAGAACGCTGTAACATGGATTGTGCTTTGGACCCCTTCCCTGAGCGGATGAATCTAACGATTGAAACAGAATTCAAAGAGAACTTGGTGAAGAATGTGTCTTCCATGGACGTGAGTGAATGATCTGCTATAGTTATTATATCTTCAACAATATAATGTTGATTTTGCAGCATTTGAGACGTAAACATTGAGCAGGGCCTTATTTTTTTGTATGCATGTGACGTTAACAGGTAAAGATGTATTACATGGTCTAAAAAGCTCTTGACCTGACATCTCTGACTTTTAAAATCCTATTTTAGGCTTTACAGGGTGACTCGCAGCTCCGTATTTTAGTGTTTTTACATTCATCTTTTAATTTTAACAAAAAAAAAAAAATCTACAAAGCAGATTTTACAAATGCACAAATAAATAATCACCTGTGAGAGCTGTTGTACGGGTGTGGCAAGGATGGTGACGGCGCTGCACAGCTTGGCGAAAAACTTCTGGGCGAGCTGAGCCCTACCAGCGCCTTTAGCCCAGTCCAGAACCATACGCACACACGCCTGGATCTGCAGCACTCGGGAACGCTGGAACCAGCCCCTCGCAGGACCTACAAACATAGAGTAAAGACACATTCAGAATTTTTCTCTTTTAATTTCAGTTTTGCACGAAATACAGCACCAAGGTGGACAGTATGTTTATCAGGGCTGAGTCTGTGGCTCTAAACAAAGGACAGGAATGGGGGCCCCTGGATGTGCATTTTTATATTAGTGGGCTCCTGAGTGGTGCAATCATCTACAGTGCAATCATGGCAAGTGAAATCACTTTAAATCTATTTTAGACATGCTATGTGAAATTATCCCACTATCTTCAAAGATCATTTTGCTTGTTAGTGATTGTTATTCATCATATATTTTTTTTTAGAGACTTTTGTTCCGCAGTTTTAGAAAGATTAACACTGTTCCGACTCTGGAATGTTCTTCTGATCAGGAATGCTGTGCTTCTATTGAGTTTTTAGAATGATCATCATTAAATGACAATTGTCTTTCACTTAGCAGTGACCATGCAATAGCAACCACCTTGCAACACTCTAGCAACTACCTGGAACACCACAGCAATCTAGCAACCTAGCAACACCCTAGGAACCACCTGGGATAGCATAGCAACCATCTAGCAACCACCTAGCAACACCCTAGCAGCCACATGGAATACACTAGCAACCACCTTGCAACACTCTAGCAACCACCTGGAACACAATAGCAACCACCTGGGATGCCACAGCAATCACCTAGCAACACCTGAACAACCACCTGGGATAGCATAGCAACCACCTAGCAACACCCTAGAAGCCACATGGAATACAATAGCAACCACCTTGCAACATTCTAGCAACCACCTGGGATACCACAGCAATCACCTAGCAACACCTGAGCAACCGCCTGGGATAGCATAACAACCACCTAGCAACACTCTAGCAGCCACATGGAATACAATAGCACCACCTAGCAACACTCTAGCAACCACCTGGGATACCATGGCAATCACCTAGCAACACCTGAGCAACAAACCTGGGATAGCACAGCAATCACCTAGCAACACCCGAGCAACCATCTGGGACACCATAGCAACCACCAAGCAATAGCCTAGCAACCACCTGGAACACCATAGAATCAACCTAGAATATGTAGTAATATAATTTAGTATAGAGTAACATAGAAGTATTTAGAAATTCATTTTTTTAAAGTTTTGTGACAAAGTTTAAGCTTTTTTTTGGCTATTTTTGCATCTTGGATGACTTTTGATGACATTTATTTTTTTTTTCTCTCAACACTCAGAAAATCACATAAAAAAACAGAAGAGTCCATTATAACCATAACCGGGGGTTTTCCGGCATTGAAATTCCTGAAAATAATTGCAACAATTGCAATTATAAGCCATTCTTAAAATGTATATAAATGTATATACGTTTTAAAATAGGTTGTTTAATATTAGCATGTACAGTATTTCTAATTTGTATTTTCGCTCATGGGTGCCTTAAGCAGCTGCCTACCCTTGCCTAGTACAAAGACTGCCACCTGATGTTTAGTATGCTTGGCCTGAGCACACATTGTGTTACCCCAGCGAAATGAACTGGTGCTAGTGTGTGTATATCTGTGTGTACATGTGTGTGTGTGTGTAAGCACTGCTCTGATCCTCTCTGTCTGTTATGACACAAAGAGGATTATGGACGTCTGGAGAAATAATCACCGCCTCACAGTGCCCTCTCTCCACAGACACACTCACGCGTGCACACGTACACGCAAAACATATGCCACCGGCTGCCCTTTAAAAAAGGAAATTAGTGATGTAGCTCTTCAGCGTGACAGACGAGGCCGGCTTAAGCAGTTAAATAACTAGCAGTTTTAGTAAATTCAAGTTTCCTTAAAATTAACTGACCTTCTAAATGCACGGTCTGGTTTTATGACTATACAGTCTTTTCTTGCACCAGTCATAATATTTCTACTTGGAAATGTAATCAGATCTGACAGAATTAATTGTATAATTAATTGTATTGAAGTTGGGGTTTTCCATTTTCCATATTGTGATATACAGTAACAAATTCTGTGTTGTATATTATGAGATGATTTTAACCATGTAACTAGTGAGGGATAGTATAAATGGGCTAGTAGGGCTCTTTCCAAAAAAACATCAAAATAAGGTTTCTTTGGTGTTAACAAAGGACTAGAAGATGATTATTTGGGCTTTTCAAGCCTCCAGCCGACGCTTGGCGCTGCACTATGAGCAATGCCAAGCGTCGACTGGAGTTGTGTAAAGCACATTGTCAGTGGAAACATGATCTCTGGAGTGTTGTATCATGCTTCACTATCTGGCAGTCTGATGGACAAATCTGTGCCAGGACAACACTATGTACCGGAATGCATAGTGCCAATAGTAAAGGAGGGATAATGGTCATTTTAGACAATTATTTGCTTCCAACTTTCTGGCAATAGTTCAGGGAAGAGCCTTTGCTGTTCCAGCATGTGCGAGTTTGACAAGTTTGGTGTGGAGGAACTCCAGTGTCCTGTACAGAGCCCTGACCTAAACCCCACTGAAGAGCTTTGGGACAAAATCGATTGTGAGCCTGGAATTCTTGTCCAAAATCCCATGGACAAAGCCTTCCGAAAATAGTGGAGGCTGTTATAGCCACGTAGTGGGAGGTAATTCCATATTGATACCCATGGTTTTGGAAATGGATTTTCCAACAAGCTTGTATAGGTGGGATGGTCAGGTGTCCACATACTTTTGGCCACAGAACAGGTGTAAATCATCAAAAGTATCCCGCCTATACAAGCTTGTTGGAAAACCCATTTCCAAAACCATGAGCATCAATATGGAGTTGCCTTCCCCTACGTGGCTATAACAGATGATAACAGATCTTAAATGGCAGAGTAAGCACCACCATGAACACTCTCTCTACCAGTTAAGATTGTCTTAACACTAAGATGCTTTTGGGAAACTTGTCCCATTCAAGTCCCTGAAAGCTACATCAAAGAAAGTTATTACATGAAATGGTTAATAACATGCATGCAAACAGAAACTTGTACTATCATTGGTGGCTTTGGACAGTAAATAAAATGGCTGTACTTTTATTGTAGTCATTCATCACCATCACTGTAAACAAAAATGCAATAAGTCAATCTACAGTGAACTATTTCATATCAAACTACCTTAAATCAATTTGTTTACCTCTCAATGATAACGCAGAAGTTTTGGCAAATCAGAGGAATTCCCATTAATACATGTTCATGAAACTAAATTTATTCTAAGTAATTTTGGACCATTTCTATTGGTACACTCATCATGAAGTGGTGATGCAGTGGTCATTTTCAAATAAAACAGAAAAAGTAGTTGTGTGGTTTCAATACGACAGCAATGATGCGCATACATAACATAGGCAGCTATAGAACTAACTGTCCACTGTCTGTCTATGTTACTGGCCATCTTCAATTTAATTCCAGGCATCTGCAGAGACTCATGAGTTCAGTCTAGTGTATGCAGTGTGGCAAGAGACACTAGAGGGCAGACTAAAACATCCTGCAGATCATCACTCTCTCTCCTGCCCGGAATCTTTTACTTTCTCATTCCGCTCCCGTCTGTCTCTTTCTCCCTGGTTGTTCTACCTGCCCTCTCACTCCCTCACCGTCCCACTCTCTCTCTGACTGTTGCCATGGAAGCAGCTGCTGTCCACATGCTTAATGAAGACGTATGACAGTGCAGGCATGGCCTGGCAAGCACCAGTGTATGTGAGGAACTGCGTGAGTGTCGACGAAGGACATGGTTTTAAATGGCAAAAAGTGAAAAGCCAAGGAAAGTAGATGAAATATAGACTGGAACAATTTGACATTTCTCATTTAATGTGTCTCATGTCCAGATAATTCGGCGGCAGCGACCACCTGTCAACAAGAAACCACCTGGGATATCTTTGCACCCACCTAGTAACCACCTGGGATAGCAAAGCAGCCACCTGGAATACCACAGCAACCACAAAGTATACCATAACGACCACCTAGCAACACTCTAGCAACCACCTAGCAATACTCTAGGAAGCACCTGGAATACCATAGTGACCACTTATCAACACGAAACCACCTAGGATATCATTGCACCTACCTAGTAACCACCTGGGATAGCAAACCAGCCACCTGGAATACCACAGCAACCACAAAGTATACCATAACGACCACATAGCAACAGTCTTGCAACCACCTAGCAATACTCTAGGAAGCACCTGGAATACCATAGTGACCACCTATCAACAAGAAACCACCTGGGATATCTTTGCACCCACCTAGTAACCACCTGGGATAGCAAAGCAACCACCTGGAATACCATAGCAACCAGCTAGCAACACCTTAGCAATCAGCTGAGACTTACTTCTCAATCATTCTGCATTTTCTTCAGAAAATGCGTTCGGTATAGATCCATCTCAAAACCACCTTCAATGCGCCACGGTTGCATTGATACTTGCTGTTTTCAAGCATGCCTATTATACGTAAAACTGTGGAAAATACAAAGCGTGAAGTCGTGCAGAGAGCACAACAGTGGCATCTATACAACACAGTGTGCCAGTACTGTTCCGTGTTCTGGAACAAATTAAGGCAGTATGAATACAAAAACCATAGCTGCATGCATGCAAAAGGACCTTGTGTGTCATGTGCATGCAAACAAAATTTAAGCTTGTGATATGAAGTGTGTGATTCTTGCACCTTTATCGATTAACAGGTTGAAGAGGGAGGCGTTGGTGAAGAAGAAGAGGTAAGCGAACATCTGGCTCTGGATCTCTGCGTGAACCTGGTACTGCTGCAGGAGGTCAGCGGTGGTCTGGAAGACGCTCACCACCCTCCTCACCGCCTCTGGCATCACACACACGGTGCAGACACAGACCCCCGCAGCCCGCCGGCATGGCTCCGAGGACGAGTCGCCTCCGAATGGGTTGCAGTCCAGCAGGGCTGGCAAAACCACATATAAGGACTGGAGAAAAAGAGTGCACAATCACATATAAACATCAAACCAACCACACAAACGTATACATACACTGTATACTTCTAATCAGAAAATTCAGCACCCGCTGTTGACACCGACATTCAACTGCATACACGTGGCTTGTATGATATCCATAGAAAAGCATTGCCAATAAAATAGAATGAAGCAGCTATGTCTCAAGCAGCTACACATGAGCCTAAGGCATCAGCTAGAGGGGTATAAAGCCCCCCAGCATTGGGCTGTGGAGCAGCTGTGAAACTGCGTTCTCTGGAGTGCTGGAGCTCCATCCACTCCCTTTGGGATGAGCTGTGATCCAGAACCCATCCAAAATCAGTACCTGACCTCACTAAAGCTCTTGTGACTGAATGCAGTCGAAACCTCACAGCAGTGTTCCAATATCTAGTGTAAAGCCTTCCTACAAGTGTAGAGGCTGTTACTGCAGCTAAGGGGGACAAAGTCCCTATCATGAACAAGTGTCTACAAACTTTTGGACATCTTATGTAGACAGTAAAGGAAGAGGACAACATAAAAAAATGGATAGAAGGATAAAAAGAAGTTCCTTGATTTTGTGAAAGTAAGTTAACACATAAAACAAATGTATGTGGACAGTTATTAGACATTCAATTCCAAAACCATGGACATTAATATAGAGCTGCCCCCCTCTCTGTGGTCTCCACTCTTCTGGAATGTGTGGCCTATCACTTCATAGCTGAGCTGTTGTTGCTCCTAGATGCTTCCATTTCACAATCATACCACTTACAGTTGTCTGGGGCGGATCTAGCAGGGCAGATATTTCACAAACTGACTTGTGATAAAGGTGGAATCCTGTGACCGTTCCTAGTTTAAAGTCACTGAGCTCTTCAATATGACCCATTATACTGCCAGTGTTAATGGCTATGTGCTTGATTTCATACACTTGTTAGCAATGGGTGTGTCTGAAACACCTGAACTCAATAATTAGAAGGGGTGTCCACATACTGTAGATATACTCTGAATTTGTATCAGCTTGGTTCATACAATACTGTCGTTCTTGCAAGTAAGCTGGCATATCCTGCCTTCTAGCTCAGCTAATTAGCTCCCAGAATACTCACAGCAGGCAACTTCTATATAGATGAAAGAGAGAAATGCAACCTATACAGATTTCACAGAAACTTCAGCCTTGCAAATATGTAAATAGCCAAGGTAGCTGCAGATTCTTCCGGAAAGCCCATCAACAGAGCTCAAAGCTTTTAAACTGTTGTAGAAGTTTAAAATGAAGGCCAGTAACTATGTATTGTTATATTGACAGCAACTGCATTGAAAGCATTGTGTTTCAGCAAACGGCTGGAAAAATGCAGATGTTTGGCGAAGATGCATTCAGAATTAAAATGACTAGTTTTAATTTCATGATTACAACACATACATTGCCTTACCTTAGTGATGTAATAGACACACTGTTGAAAAGTGTACATGATCACCTCCTCCAGAATAGTCATGGCTTCCTCATTGGCTGATATTGTTGCAGAGAGAAGAGATTCTTTCGATCCAGCTGAAAAAGAAAAGCAGAATAAATGCCTGAACAAACTCAGTAGCAAATTATGGACTAAGTTGGCAAATTGGCTAATATTCAGTTTGTGTGGATCCTGATTTCTTTTACAACACTTATATCACCTGAATTAAAAAAAATGAATTGCCCCTTAACCTTAATAAATGGTTGTGCCACCTTCAGCAGCAACAGCTGCAAATAAACACCTCCTATGACTGGAGATCAGTCTTTAACGTCACTGTGGAGGGATTTTGGACCATTCTTCTTTGTAGAATTGCTTTAATTCAGCTGACTGGAGGGCTTTCCAGCATAAACTGCCTGTTTAAGATTCTACTACAAGAGGCTCTAGTCAGGACTTTGACTCGGCCACTCCAAAACCTTCATTGTTTCTTTCAAGCCATCCTGATGTGGACTGTGCTTCGGATCATTTTCTTGCTGCATAATCCAATTGAGCTTAAGCTTCAGACTGTATACTGATGACTGGACATTCCCCGCAGGACTTTCTGGTAGAGAGCAGAATTCATAGTTTTGTTAATTTTGGAAATTCGCCCAGCCCCCGAAGCAGCAAAGCATCCCCACAGCATCACACTACCACCACCATGTTTCACTGTTGGTATGACGTTCTTATTGTGGAATGCCATGTTAGCTTTATGACAGATGTAACAGGAGCCTTGTCTTCCAAAAAGTTCCACTCTTCACTCATCAGTCCACAGAACAAAAGCTTGGGGGTCGTCAAGTTCCTCTTCGTTACTAGTAGTTAACTTAAGTTAAAAGCTTCCACTCTTCTGGGAAGCTTTCTACAAGATTTTGGAGTGTGTCTGTGGGAATTTTTGTCCGTTCATCCAGAAGAGCATTTGTGCGGTCAGACACTGATGTTGGACGAGAGAGCCTGGCTCGCAATCTCTGTTCTAGTTTATCCTGAAGGTGTTTGATGGGGTTGAGGTCAGGGCTCTGTGAGGGCCAGTCAAGTTCTTCCACACCAGACTCACCCAGCCAGGCCTTTATGGGCCTTGCTTCGTGCACTGGGTCTCAGTCATGCTGGAACAGAAAAGGTTCTTCCCCAAACTGTTCCCACAAAGTTAGAAACATACAATTGTCCAAAATGTCTTTGTCTGCTGAAGCATTAAGATTTCCCTTCACTGGAACTAAGGGTTCTAGGCCAACCCCTGAAAAAAAAACCCCATAGCATCATCCCTCCTCAACCAAACTTTACAGCTGGCACAGTGCAGCCAGGCAGGCAACGTTCTCCTGGCATTCGCCAAACCCAGACTCGTCCATCAGACTGACAGATACAGAAGCGTGATTTGTTACTCCACAGAATATGTTTCCACTAGCGGCGTGCTTTACATCACTCCATCCAACACCTGACATTGTGCTTTGTGATGTTAGGCTTGCATGGAGCTGCTCAGCCATGGAAACCCATGCCATGAAGCTCCAGGTGCACAGTTTTTGTGCTGATGTCAATCCAGAGGAGGTTTGGAACTCTGCAGTTATTGAGTAACTAGAGCGTTGGCGAGTTGCTGTGGTTCCTAAACACTTTTTCCATTTTTCAATAACACCACTCACAGTTGCGCTGGACGATATGACCTCAAATCAGTATCAGAATTAAATTGAATATTTTACCTTGACTACGATTAATGAACGATTATTTATTTTTTTTTTGCCCTCATAGTTCACTGACAATGTTTGTACTGTAAAAATCTTAATGTAAATCGTCTAAACAGCCAGGAGAACGGTTAAAAGAACAGTTAAAAGTCTGAAAGTAAAGTTTAAAGAATCTGAGGACATGAACCAAAAAAGTGACTGTGGCCAAATAACATGCACTTTTTATGGCGAGCTCCAACACATTCTGGTGATGAGCCCAGCTGTCAGTCAGTGAAGCTTCGTCATGGCTCCTGTGATGCTGGTGAAGATGAAGCTGATCCTCCGGGAGCGACTGGTGTTCATTCATAGTCATGATTGTTTACCTCTGGATGAACCACGTGAAACAACGTGACGCATCGTTCTTTTGCGCATGCGGGGCAGTTTAGGAGCTGATCTGTTCAGACTGTCGCATACAGATCACATTTAAAAGATATTGTGAACAGCCAAACAAAAAAATCAGATTTGGTGAGAAAATCAGATTTGGGCCACTTTTACCTGCTGTGTGAATGTAGCCTTAGCTTCCATGTCGCAGACTGGACATGTGACTACAGGCGCGGTAGGACGTTTTTAAGAGGGCAGTACATGAACACACAGAGTGGGGAAAGGATTAACAGAATTAAAAAAAAAAATCTAAATAATTGACAGGGGCAAGATTATGTCGGTTAGAGGTTCTGAATATTGGTTTCGATTATTTTTAGATTAATTGCCCAGCCCTAACTCACTTGTGATCATGGAATTTGTAGGAAGGAAGAAATTTTGCAAACTGACTTGTTGCAACGGTGGCATCCTATTACAGCACGACACTCGAATTCAGTGAGCTCTTTAGAACGACCCATTCTTTCAGAAATGTGTGTAAAGCCAGACTGCATGGCTAGGTGCTTAATTTTATACACCTGTGGCAATGAGACTGAATGAAACACCTGAAATCAATGATTAAGAGGCGTGTCCCAATACTTTTGTCCATACAGTGTGTGTGTGTGTGTTAGTAAGCATGTAAGTCCGAATGTCCATGAGGGGCAGAGTGAGGGATGTCCTTTGTGACATGATTTGTGACAGGTTTGAATTTTCTCAACATAGCAAAAAAATATGTTTCAGTGAACACTGAATCAAAAGTGTATGCACCATCGCAAAAGGAAAAGTGCACTATTCCTGTATATGTTCTAGAACCCTGGTTATGGTTCTAGCTCAAAAACTGCACCCCGTGAAAAGGGCACATAAAAGCAGAGAATAATTATTAGAAGAAGAAGAAGTAAGTTGGTTTTGTCAAGCCAACTTAAAACTATGCCCATTACTTCAGTGTAGAATGGCATTCATAGTCCTTGTAAATCTGTGTGTGTGTGTGTGTGTGTGCGTGTGTGTGTGTGTGTACCTTTGTTGTCCATCATTTCAATGCTCTGCATGTATGAAGGAGATTTCTGCTGGATGAAGTACAGGATCTCAATGGCATTTGACATCCAGAAGAAAATGAACTGAAGGTCTGGCACAAGGTCAGAGATGCTGAGCAGAGACAGCGAGGCTGGGTCCTGACTGCATTATATGCGAGCAGACACACACACACACACAGGGTTAGTGTAGGACATTTCGCAGTGTCTTTTGCATAATAAACATAGGAAATGATAAAGAATATCATACAAGACAGTTCAGGGTCCAGTGCAGTTTAACTAAATAGAAATATGTGATGTGATCACACCCACACAAAGACACACGTACTGCTACAAGGTGGAATACGATACTCACTGCTGAGCTTGCTTCTGTGCCAATTCCTTTGTCTTCTCCTGCAACACACACACACACACACACACACACTGCAATTAGTGTCATCAGAAATTGAATAGCCTTATGTAGAAGGTACAATATACCTCAATACAATCTGTCCTCCCTCATCCCTTCTGTAATTCCTTCTCTCTGCTTTCGTGCCCATCTCGTTCTCGTGTCTCCTCTGTTAATATTCAGACTGAGCAGGGCTGACCTTCTGTAATTGGATTTTAATAATTAATCAGTTAAGGGAGAGGTCTGAAGCGGTCATTAAACGCTTCAGCATGGTGTCATATACGCTCGCTCACTGGGAGATTCCCAAATTACACAGCACCCCTCCTCCTCTGCTGCTCGTGCAGACTATCTGCAAAGGTAAATGTTAAGCTGAGGGTGAACAAAGACAGGAGGCCATGTGAGGTGCCTTTTTGACCTTCACAGAGGAGATTTTAGCCCCCCTTCTGTTCATTTTTTCTATTGAACAAATTTCATTTTATACAAAAGACAGCTGAGCACAGCTGTAAAATACTTGATATGCATACACCTGACTGCACACATCAATAGAATTCTGTAATGAATGCGTCAATTAATTAAAAATCCCTGTGCCATTCATGAAATAATGGTTATGCTGGAATACAAGCCTTGGGGGAAAAACTGTTTATTGCACATATTACTAATAATACACTAGAAATATGTCAATTTATTGAGCATTAGCGCATTTTATCTTATTGTGTTCTGTTGCTACTTAATAGAAAATATCTGAAATTTACCTTTAAGGCTCCAAACCATAAAACCAAGAATGAGTTGAAAAATTCTAAAATATCTGTGTCCATTCTGTCAAAAAAGCATTTGTGAGGTCAGGCACTCCATGTTTCAACTCATCGCAAAGGTGTTCAGGGGGTTGAGGTCTGGGCACTGTGTAGACCACTGGAGTTTCTCCTCACCAAATTCAGCAAACTTTACTATTGGCATGATGTATTCTGGTAGGTAGCGTTCTCCAGACATCCACCAAACCCAGATTCTTCCATTAGACTAGCAGAGAACTCCAAAGAACACCATTTCCACTGCTGATGTTCCTTCCAAAGGAGGTATGGAACTCTGTTGGGAGTCTATTGGCAGTGTGCTTTACACTACTCCAGCCAACACTTGGCATTGCACACACAGATTTTAGGCTTGTGCATGGATGCTTGGCCACAAAAACCTTTAATGAGACTCTTGATGTACAGTTCTTGTGCTGATGTTGCTTTTAGGGGCAGTTTGGGACTCGGTGGTGAGTGAGGCGACAGAGGACAGGCAATTTTAATTTTAATTTCACAAACTGACTTGTAGCAAAGGTGGCATCCTTTGACAATGCCATATTTCAAGTTATTAAGCTGTTTGGTACAACCAGTGTTTGATACTGCCAAGGCTTGCCTATGGAGACTGCATGGCTATGTGCTTGATTTTATACACTTATTACCAATAGGTGTGGCTGAATCACCTAAATTTAGTAATTAGGAGAAGTGTCCACATACTTTTGGCCATAGTGTACCTCAAAAACCTTTTCTTTTTTCTCTTTCTAAAGAACAGGAATCCAATGAGGCTTACAGCCCTACACTAATGGGATTATTAAGGGATTGTGGGAAATTTGGTTAGCTTGGTTAACAAAATAATTTAATTAAATTGTTATACTTCAAAGTTCAATAATGAAGATGCACATTGTATTACGAGAGAGACAATAATAGAGCACTAACCCATGCAATGGTCTGAATCTTCTTGGCAATTTTCAGCAGCAGCTTCCCAAAGCTGCCCGGTGGGAATGTATTAGCGGAGTGTTTGATGCATAGGCAGAGCAGGTAAGCGGGAGTCAGCTTGTGGTCATCTCCACTTGGCTCAATCAGCGTGAGCACACGGTTGACTAGTGCATCCTCGTGAGCCCGCTCAAACTCCAGAGCCAGCTTCCGCTTCTGCGTGTTCCGCAGCGGAGCCTTGGAGTTGCGCCGGGATGACCCGATGGGCTCCCGCAAGACATTCCCACACAAACGACAAGCCTCCCCTTTTTCACCCCCTGATTCACTGTCATAGAGTTTCGCGAGAGCTTGCAGTCTGGTAAGGGTCTGGGCAGGAAGTGGTTTTGCACTCAGTGGGTCCTTGTACAGGAAGATGTAATGAGCACCAAAGGAAAGCAAGTCTCCGTGCCGGAGTGGCGTGGGACGCTCTATACGAGTAAAGTTGACCAACACGTTGCCATGAGCAACCGGCTCCAGGAGTAACCGTGGGTCCGAGGAAGAGGAGGAAGAGGAGGAGGAGGAGCGTCTGGGCGGAGCGCGGCGGATGCGGCAGTGAAGCGGCAGGATATCTGGAGAGGACAGGCAGATGTTTGGTCGTGCGGATGCCGTCTCTTGACCGACTGTGTGCTGCTCTCTGTTTAGCAGGTATACAAGGCAGTCCTGTAGGCAAACAATCAAGATTAGTCATAATGATTGCTATGGCTATTCCAGCTTGTTGTTAGGCTATTGCTTATTGGTTGTTAGGTGGTTGCTAAATTGTTGTTAGGCTGTTGCTGTGATATACCAGGTGGTTGCAAACGTGTTGCAAAATTCTTGCTATGGTATCCCAGGCAGTTGCGAAAAAAGGATAAGCAACCCAACGTGTATGGGCTCTATGACCAGTTTGCATTTTCAGTTTGCATTTTTCTCTAACTTAAACACCATCAGTCAGATAGTATTAATCCTTATTAATCTCATCGGTGATGTCGTATCGCAACCCATCATGCACTTGAACCAAAGCTGTTAACAATAAGCACCACACATGCATTGTCTAGGTTGCCTAGGTCTACTTGCTATAGTTACATGCTGGCATAATGGCTGTTCACTGGTCCAATCGTGTACCTTAATTAAGTTTTTCCCAGTGGAAAAGTATGTCTTTGTACCTTCTTGTAGCCTAATGTTTTATAATAGAACAATAAAATAAAAAGCCTGGAGACGAGACAGGATGTGTGGAGTCAATATAACTTAGAAAATATAATTTCAGTGGATTATGGTATAATTATGTTTCCTGACTAAAGGTACTGAGATGTACCCTTGAGGGTACCTTCCCAGTGACAAAAGGGGTACTACCCCAGTGAGAGTTTTGTACCTTTTTTATGAGAGTGTATTATGTGTTCTTTTCCATTTTGTGGGTCAAATTGTCAAATTGTGGGTCAATTGCTCAAAAAAGGTGAAACAACTAACCAGCTGCAACAGCAGATGGTAAACACCACCATGATTTGAACAGATGCAAGCATGTCAAATCAGTACACATGTTAAACTGGACTTTGACTTATCAGGGCTGGGTTTCCCAAAAACATCTTAGCACAAAAATGATTCTTAAATGGTAGAGCAGGCATCGCACTGAACCCTCTTTCTACCAGTTAAGATGATCTCAACACCAAGATGCCTTTCGGAAATTGGGCCCAGACAATTTGTGGAAAGCAACTCATTGCTCATTCAGGCGAACTTCTATAAACTTCTGAATTTCCAGGTAATGTATGTGTTTGTGTGTCTGCCCTGCGATGAACTGGTGACCTGTCCAAGGTGTTTCCTGCCTTCTGTCCAATGACCACTGGGATAGGCTCCAGCTCCCCCCATGCCTCGGAAGGTTAGGCGGTTTAGAAAAAGTGTGTGTGTGAATTTCCAGGCTTACCACAAGGAAGGTGTTAAGTTGTAAAGTCATAAACACAAGAGATAAACTTGGGCAAACCCCACATTACCCAGGTTCATGAGCTGAATCACTGGTTAACACATTCTCTGATACCAAATGGACAGACCAAACTGGCACCGGTACATCGCAGTGGATAAGAATTGCTCATGTGATAAATTTAGTTGCCGATGACCACTCAAACAAGTGGTTATCATTCGGTGATGGCTGACCAAAGAACAGAGCCTTTTTACTCACCTGTCGATTGTAGCCTTGCAGAAGCAGAAGATGAGGTGAGTGGTACAGGGAGTGCTTGACTCCGCCCCCGTCCCGCTCCTTGCGCACTTCACTGTCTCGTGCGGAGCGTGCTCGGACCGGCCCGGGCAAAGTGGAGTAGTAGCGTTTGGGCTCCTCCCCGGGCAGGCCCACCAAGTTGAGGCTAGTCTCGCTGAGGCTGCGGCAGAAGGACGAGCCATGCTGGAGGGTCATTGTTCCTTTAGCGCGGTTCCTCTGAAGCTTCCTCGCCTGAGCATTTATATCTGACACATGGAGGCATAGTCAGTTAAGCAGCTATGCTTTCCCAGGATGTGCTCAACCTCTTAAACCGCAATGCAGTTCTTCACACTCATATCTACATGACTAACATAGTAGTTACCAGGTAATTTTACTGTAAGACAGCATTCATAAGGCTACATAATATCTATATAAGCCTTTCATGACAACTGACATAAACCTATTTAAGCATTAATGAAATTGGTTCCAACAGGCATTAGACATCATAACACTTTCTGGGGTGACTAAAACCTTTACGACAACTGATGTTTGTTGGAATAAGTCTTTATAACTGCTCATGTAGGCTTATGTCAGTTGTGGGCTGTCATGCATCCTTACGAATGCCACCCTTCAGTAATATGTTACCAATAATTCATAGTAGTTCCTGAGTAACATCTTAAGATTAACAACTAAATAATACAAGTAGGGTTCAAGAGGTTAAAAGCAAAGTATCTGATCCCAATTTCTTCAAGCAGAGCTCAACATGATTGGCAAGCTGAGTTACGAATGAACCTCAGGATGATGCAGCCAAAACGCAAAAAAGCTCCAAAAGAGCATATGCAAACATTACATAGCAATGAGCTTGTGCTGATACAAGACTATGTTGGTCTAAGGTGATGGTGATATAAGAAAAAAATGATAAAAAGAATTCAAAAAGAACTCTGAACATGAGCTCATTTGGCTTTTAAAAGCTGTGAAATATCCAACAATTAAATTGACCCATTACTTTGGTCAAATAAACTCCCAGTGGCCTTCAACAGAATCCCTTCATGCTTATAAGGTCTTTGAAAACGGGTATTCTTGTGAACTTGTACCCCCACATTCTGTTACAGCTTCATACACTTTCAAATGAATAGGAATATTCAACTGTTAGAATATTACAATCAAAACAAATTTCAGCTTATTTTAAATCTTTGAGCAACCTCATGAGAACCTTGACAAGACATCTGTACTGGCACGCTCTGCTGTGTATCATCTCATTTTTTTTTTACTTTTTATGAATTCTTCAATCTTTAAATTAAGACAGAAGTTCATTTCAACTGTAGGGAAAATTACAATCATTTAAGTTTCAACTTAATTTGGTACTTTGAGTCTTTGAACAACCTAATTCAACCTTGACAAGACATCTATCAGAAGCCACAAGCCTGAAAGACCAGGAGTTGACACAGATGCAAACTGCTGAATGGTGAACCCTAAGGCCCAAATGCATGAATGAAGAGACCCAAGAGAAACAACGTGCGTATGTGAATAAACAGAGTAAGAATGAGTGTTGCAGTGCTGCATTGCAAAAGGGAGACAGAACAAAAAGATACACTGCTATACCAAAATGGCCAATAAGCATAATGCTCATAAAAGTGATAATGATAACATATATGGATTTCTGAAAAGACATGGAAAGAATATCATCAACATACCCACAATACTGGTTCTCAAAATAAACAGAAAAGCATGAGGCAAGTACTACATTTACTTCATTGTAAGAATATAAGGCACAATTGCTATGCTTATATTACTGTTGTAAGAAAACCTCCAGCAGTCTTGAACTATTTGAAGAACCTTCACTCTGGAAGCTAAAACACAAACGGTGAAATCACATTACATACAAATATATACAAACTACTTCCCCAAAACAAGGTTTTCTTATGACAGCATTGATGGCATGGAGGTTTTTCATTATTTCAAATGTTCTGGTGATATAAAACAGAAGCAGATGCTTATGGTACTAACTTTAGAGATGGGTTCTAGAGGTGGGTAGTGATTAACCCTTAGAAGTAATTGTTTTTGTCATTTTTTAGTATATGATATTTATTTTAATGAGTATTTTTTTATCATTTCTCAGAAGAGCAGACCATACAGCATGTAAGTCTAATGTAAATATCATTCATTATGCTAAAAAGTAATGAATTAAAATGCACTGCAAGCTACTCTAGACTTCTAAGGGTTAGTAAAAGTTGGCCTATTTTTGAAGAAAGGCACATGGACAGCCAGGCTTTTAATTACCTGGGTTTGGAGTTTTGGGAGCTAAAATAACACAAAGGTTTGTATAAATTGTATGTATATAACGTAGTTAAAGTCAATATATGTACAAAAAGTATATGTTTGTTCAAACATGCATTGGTATGACATTGAGTATTCAACAACAAATGGAAATTAAATTGTAAAGAGTGTAAAGACACTGTTAAAAAACCCAGCCATGGACGCAGATATACACTTAATATGAATCACCATGGTTATGTATAATAATGGTCTATTGAATGAGGATAAAAATGGCAGGACAGTATACTAGGGCTGCACAACGATCCACAGTCGGAAAAATCCCTAGAACAAAAAGAATCAGAAAGTTTGTGACAAGCTTTCAGTTGGCTTGACAAAGCCACTGCTAAGAAATCCCAGGTTGTCGCTAAAGTGTTGCTAGGCCATTGCTATGATATTCCAGGTGATTGCTAAGATGTTGCTAGGCTGTTGCAATGAATGCTAAGATGTTATGGTAACCCAGTGCTATGGTAACCCAGGTAGTTGAGGCCAATGCTAAGGTAACCCAGGTGGTTGCTAAGGTGTTGCTAGGCCATTGCTATGTTATCCCGAGTGGTTGCTAAAATGTTGTTAGGTCACTGAAATGAATGCTAAGGTGTTGCTAGGTCATTGCTATGTTATTCTGAGTGGTTGCTAAGATGTTGCTAGGTCATTGCAATGGAATCCAGGGTAGTTGCTAAGATGTTGCTAGGTCATTGCAATGAATGCTAAAGTGATGCTAGGCTGTTGCTATGTTATCTCAAGTGGTTGCTAAGGTGTGGTTAGGTCATTGCAATGGAATCCAGGGTGGTTGCTAAGATGTTTCTAGGCTGTTCCTATGGTATCCCAAGTCATTGCTTAGGTGTTGCTAGGCCATTGCTATAATATCTCAGGTAGTTGCTAAGGTATGCATGCAAGTATGTATGTATGTATGTATGTATGTATATGAGAGGGTAAGATATGTCCTTTGTGACTTCATTTGTAACAATTAGACTTGAAGTTTCTCAACATTCCCCCATTGATTTACTAATGACAAAAAAATTTGAACAAACACTGTATGAAAAGTGTACATGTGATTAGTCCCAAAAGCACAAGCGCAGTACTCTCATGGAGGCTCTACAATTCGGCCAGGTTTTGTGGTTCTAGCTGAATTTCTTTTTCTTTATCTAAGAAGGAACAGGAGGAAAAGTTAAGATAATTACATAAAGGAGTGACATACAATCATACAATACAATTACTATATACTGGCTATTTTCGTTTACAGGCTTTCTATATTTGGTCTAAATCTTTTTGTTTATGATAATCGCAGTGTTCTAGAGTACACTCATTAATAACTTAGCCCCACTTTACACTTCAGCTACACTTCAACTTTGGGACTCGTCGTGGCAAAACAAGGAACTAAAAGAGAAAATATCTAGAAATTAACACAATACAACAATACAGTTCTCCAAACAAGATGGGCTGTGAAATGCTTTATGTACTTACTGGAACAAAATGACAATCAGGTTAATCTGGCAAAATTTATAAACTGAGCTGAACCTGATATTGTGACAGTGTTACGGCTCTATCTGTAATGCAAATGGGTACTTAATTTTTTGGTGGGAGGAATTGCCTATACTAAGACACATTTGGTACAATGTTCAGGCTTCTTTGATTCACTTTTTCTTATGTTATGCATAACCATAGTATAAAAGCATTAGAAATGTTGAGGTTGTTTGTTATCCTAAATAACATCATGCGTGATAAATCGAAGTATGTCAACTATCATGAGAAAAAAACAAGATTGTGCAGTCCTACAATATGCAATGTAAAGATGGAATATGCAGTGGAATGTCAGACACAGTGATGGTCAGTGGGGCTGGTGGTTGACACCATACCTGAGGACAGTCCCCACCTTTAACAATCGGAGTGCTGGGTAGTACCATACGCCAGCCCCGGGGGGAGCTCCGGTGGCATCTACCATGCCCCCCTCTACTCAGGGTAGACGATAACACAGGGGAGTGCGTGTGAGGTGCTGGGAGCAGGTCACCATCGCAGCACAACAGAGTAGAATACATCCACAAGTAAGGAAATAACACACATGCATGTCCATTGACCCATATCGCTATTGTCGGAAGAAAACCTCGTATCTCCAAAATGATCATTTTACATTAGAAGGAAAAAACCTACTTTACTGTTAATGTAAGTCAATAGAACCAGACATTTTTTCACATCATTTTGGGTCATTTCTTTTGGTCCATTCATCATGAAATTTACACACACAATATAAAGGGCAACAGGCATTTTCAAATTATGTCAAAAACTGAAAAACGACAAAAATGGAGGTTTTCTTCCGACCGCAGCGATATATAACAAGAAATAAAACAGTAAGGACAGGAGGAACCATCAAGTTCTGTTTACCAGATCATTTATAACTTAAATGTTAATATAAGTAATACATTCCTGACCTTAACTATTTAATTATTCATTTTTGAACCAGCCACCAGAGGAGTAAATGCATTGGTGCATCGTGATGCGATCCAAAGGTGGTGATTCAGTTGCACTGGTTTGGGAATGTTACAACAAATTTGAATTGATTATAATATAAGCACCAAAACTCTGTATTCTAGTACTGTGTAAATAATTCCTCCTGTCACATTTGGGTCACATTCACTGTATTTTTCCATTGATTTTTCAAAGTTTCTGTACAATTCAACCAGTCATTGAGAGTGGTTTGATGTGAAAAGCTAAAATCTGGAAAAACTTGAGAGTCACAGTAATGGTGATAGAAACTTTGGCCAGAAATGTGTTTTTAAAAAGCTAATCTCGGCAAAGTGGTACATGCAACTGGTTTATGGTAAAATACTTCCCAAAGAAAACATATTTTTTCACATTTACCAATAATAGCTAATTACTAACATCACATATAAACCAGAAGACAGGCTTGTAGACACTGTGACTCCTGGTTCCTATCACCACCACTGTAAAGAAATCC